CAACGCAAGTATCAGTCAATTTGATTGACGGCTTGTCAATCAACAGAGGTAAATAAACAACTGTGTTTTTAGACTTTTCGATTCCTCCAAATATTTGACAACTTTGAGGTTAAATATCTCCCCTTGCCAGAGAGCTACAACACTAACCTTAATTCCCCTTTATAACCCATCATTTCATCTCTAAAAACCATCAAAAACATCTTTGGGCGCTACCGTATTTTTGTCTTGGATGCCTTTTAAAATCTGCGATTGTGATAAGTTTCTCTTAACTACACCTGTCACGAAATTCTGGCTCTAGCCGGTCACTTAACCAAATAGACCTACATTTTTTAGCTCTTCATACAAGGTGATTGATCAAGAAAGCTAAAAAATGTGAAAAAATTTCGAGGTCTTTCGTAGGAATGGAAAATTTCACATTTAGAGAGATGCATGCTGGCGAAAAATCGATGGGAAAATCGTAGCGTTTCTTTCTTCTGTCGTTTATTACTTTGAAGATTTGCTAAAGTTGGCAAATAGGGCTCTTGTACAGAACAAAACATTCATTAGTCTGTAATTTGATTGTTTATTATCATTATAGCACAGTTCACAATAAGGAAACTGTAACAGGAGTGTAGATTTTAAAGTCGCATGTCGCGTGCTTGTTGACTTTCAAGTTCCCGTGTTTCATAGCTTCAGCTTTTCCAGACCGCGGATGACGGGAAACTCTGCCCCACTCAATTGAAAGGAAATATCAATAGCCCCATAAAATTCATTAACTCCGCCATGTTTCCAGAAAATAAGACTGCAAAGTTTTTTTTCCACTTTCCACCATCAAGAAATTCCACGCAGAAATGGTATTTGTAGCATGACTGCGTGACCTTTCACGAGAAATAAAAATTGTTTATCTTTTTTTTACGAGAAAACACTTCTACAAAGTTCTTAATCCTTCTGTTATTTTATTTGCCTGTTTTCTGACTGCAAATATCGTCAGCATTTGCTATTATTTTTGCTGATTTTCATGGCCCTTTCCTGCGTACGTGCGAGCCAGTTGGTATACTGAGCTGCCTTTCGAGTTTCTTTGCGTGGTGTCGGGCCTAGGTGTGTAGGTCTGGCACGAAAGATATCTACGAGCTGCACCACGGTATTTTCCCCTTTTTCGTTATTTGTATTTTTATTCTCTTTCTTGCATTATCACACATGTGTGTTATTTTAATTCCCTCAGTGCGTTCCCTCGGATTTGGAGGACGGCTGTGAAAAGTCAATATTGACCAGAACTCAAACCTTTGCTATCACTATTTGTTTTAAAGAACCCCTGTTCTTTATAACTTTATTTCTCAAGATAACGTGTCTTTATCTGCTATTTATTTCCATTAGAACATGAAACTAGGTCCCGATAAGTTTTTGTTTCGTGACTCCCAAAAACTGTGTTTGCGACAGCATCAATTGAGAAATCAAAAGCAATTTCGTCCTTCTAACCGCAGAAGGCAAATCCATGTAATGAGGCGTTCTAAGACCTCTGTAAACTAGAGACATGACGTGGACGAGGATGTAATGTGTGGAGGGGTCAAATATTTATACAAAAAATCTGTGACCCTCAAACGGATCACATACTCGTACATGTAACGTCCGAAAAATGTCACGCATGTACAATACCGCAGGCGCACCTGGCGAATTCTTTCCACTGGCTTCAATAGTAAAGAGACAACTTATTTACTATTTGTATATGAGCAAGCTTATTTACCCTATTTGTAAAACTCCTTGATGAAGTCTACTATTGTCAGACGAAACGCGTGGGAGATAAATACAAGTTTTTACTTCCTCAGTTCGTGCGGTGATGCTCACTTGTTTGTTTCGTCAAAAACGATTTAATGTGATGTCATGTCGACCTCGACAGAAAAATTAAGCTCACCCTGTCATAATCAATGTTTTGATACTGTAAGTACCAATTAAGGTAAATCATTGCGCTTTGATCACAATAATGAAAAAAATGTGCGTTTTCTCACGCTCACCACATTTATTCTTTGGAAAATTATTTTACTGGAGGGCGATGTCGCCTAGCTTGGCACGTCTTCACTCTAATCGACGAAAATTATCGAGGTGAGTCCCATGAAATTCTTGTCAAATGTTTTAAAAACTTTGTCTACCCTTGGTTTGCACGCAGAAAAAAAGACAAATTATCCACGGTATTTCAAACTATTTTATTTATTAGTCAATTTATGAACTGTTTTATAACAGCCCGAGGAAAAAGCAAGATGGAAACAACTGGCGTATCGGTCAAACGAATTCCAATTTTTTTCAACAAGGAGTTTCTAAGTTCCTTTTTCCTAGTTAATTTAAGAGGAGGTCAATGTTTTGTGACAGCCGAAGATAGACATCTCTGAAACGTCTCTGAAACTCTTAAGGGGTTTACACTTCCAGTAATATTTTCCTCCCTCTCGCAACAGCGCAACAGACATTGTTAATCCTATGTAGTGTACGTGTATCAGTTGTACTACGTCTTCATAGTGATGCCATATAAGTAATCGAGTGTCTAAAAAGCCCTCAATTCAACCTAAAACTTGAATTGATAGAGTCAAGATGGTTCATTTGCACCTAACTGTAAAAACCAACTTACTTTTCTCGCACTGACCAGAGACGGAAACAGCTCATACCCATAAATTCGTGAGTGTACAGCATGAAAAAAAAACATTCGAGAGACCTCAATGTATCCCAAACATGCGTTTCGTCCGAGAAGAAGCTTATTCTAGCTCACATTGGCTTATTTGGAAATTACCAAGGCCTCGATTTCACTATATACCTCAAATATCGTGCACAACTTGGTGTCAGATTCAGACCTTCGGGTTCGTAAATGCCAGTATCCTCCTCATAAAAAATCGGAAACGTAAAGTTGAGAGAGAGGTAAACCTGAAGACGGCAGAAGAAATCAAAGGTGGCGGCGAGTCTTCCTGGTGGTAAGGTGACTGTAAACCTAATAGAACGCGTACTGTAATTGCTATCTTAGAGTCGGCAAGGAGTAAGTAAGAAGGGCAATAAGAGCGCTTATCTGAACATCAGTTTTCCTAACTGGTGATATGTGACTGAGATGAACTTTGTATCATATGATTGCTACGCAGATACTGTAGAGGCGCTCACATAAATAGAGGCGGGCGATCCTCCCTCTAACTTAAGAACTGCGACAAGTTTATAGCGCAGACCAACTGGCACAGTTTGGAGGCTCATCACATTAGAAACCTTCAGCAAACTAATCGTAGAAGTGGGTGGTTATCAGCAACATGCATAGATCTCTGAACGCGGGTCATCGCGAGAACTATACCCAATCCGTCACAGAAGGAACAAGAAAGCGAGATATTCTTGCTAAGAGGAAGGATGTATTAAGACGTTTCAGTCATTCACTGCCATCCAGAAGAACCTTAACAAAGGCAAACACAAGGTGAAGCTGACAAAAAAATCCGCCTATAATAAGATCAAGAGGAAATGGACGAAGACTTGCCATTCTGTAGGGGGTGGCTACGTTCAAGGTCGGACCTCAGGTAAAATTTTGACGAACAATCCCTAACTAGCCGGGTGAACTTTGGATGGGCTCTTTGGAAAACACAAAAAGCAGCCGCCTTTTCTCAGATAGCAAAGAATTATCTCCTAGACGTGTGCTGGACATAGGAGGAAACTAGTAAGGCAACCGCCTCTAATGCGGCCAAATATCGAGTTTAGGAGACGACACCGGCCAGAAATGCTGTCTAAGACTGACTGGTTGATAGAGCAGCAAATCGCTCGATACTTCAGCCGGTTACCTGCCGTAACAAAAATTGGTTATTGACGAAGTCCCCCTCTGTAAGTATGAATGAGGACGAAGAGGCCGATGCCGATGATCTAGCTTCAGAAATCGAAATTGACCGAACAAGGCAGAAGATAAGGAGAGACCTTGCAAAATTTAGACGAAGGCTGCAGGAGAGGGTACAGATACTATCAAGCTAAAAAAATAAGGACCTTTGCATCTCACTTTTCTTTCATATTTATTGTCATTGCTCACGAAAACAACTGACTATGTCCTGGGATTTTTTCATCGAGGGAAATTTGCAGGAAGCCCACTGGTCAAAATACTGCTAGCTCATTCTTACTATCTTTTATAAGTCACGCAATTAAACGCCGGCAACAATCAAATTATAGACTAATGAATGCTTTGTGCCGTAAAAAAGCCATATTTGCTGATTTTAGCAAATCTCCAAAGTAATAAACGACAGAAGAAAGAAACGATACGATTTTCCCTCATCACATGCATCTCTCTAAACGTGAAATTTTCCATTCCTACGAAAAAATCTCGAAATTTTTTTCACATTTTTTAGCTTTCTTGATCAATCACCTTGTATGAAGAGCTAAAAAATGTAGGTTTATTCGGTCAAGTGACCGGCTACAGCCAGAATTGCGTGACAGGTGTAGTTGAGAGAAACTTGTCACAGTCGCAGATTTTAAAAGGCATCCAAGACAAAAATACGGGTAGTGCTCATAGATTTTTTTTATGGTTTTCAGAGATGAAATGATGGATTATAGAGGGGAATTAAGATTGGTGTTGTAGCTCTCTGGCAAGGGGAGATAATTGACCTCAAAGTTGTCAAACATTTGGATGAATCGAAAAGTCTAAAAACACAGTCGTTTATTTACCTCTGCTGATTGACAAGCCGTCAATCAAATTGACTGATACTTGTATCGGACATTTACTAAGGATGTAATAATATGTGTGCAAGAGTGATTGGTTAGATACCATCTTAGTGAGAGCTTCATACATTTTACCTATTTTGAGGCGATTTCCTTAGTAAAAGCCAAGAAAAACCGGGGGGTGGACTATCTCCCCCCGGAAAAAAGCAAAGCAGAAACCACTTTGTCTTTTCGAATTTTGGGGTAGACCCTTAAAACTGGAAAAGTTTCATTGAAATCGGTGAGATGGCGTGTAGCACGACTGCCCGGTGCTCTCGTGGACACGCTCTTAATACTAGCTTCAAGCTCCATCGACTAATTTTTTCAATCAGGTATTTTGACTCAAGAAACCAATGCCAACCTTACGCAATTCGGTTACCAATACCTTAGTGCTCTTTACGTGAAGACTTTGGAATCTGCAGGGGCTCGAGCTGTTCCAGTTTTGTATCCTTTTCACCTCATAAAGTAATTTGACGATTTCTCTGCTCCTGAGTCACTTCAAGCTGCAGAAAACACTATTCCCCTTTGGAAACTACCTTAATAACCCCTCTGAAATTCACGGGAAATAATATTAAAATAATAAATATATACAGATGTTAACTTGACTAAAGAAAAAACTTTCTTTCGGTCGTAAAAGACAATGCATTTTTTCACTTGCCAGTTGGCCGCTTATTGTTAAAACCTTAAGGAAAAACTGTCAGAATAAGGGAATGCCTCGTGGTGTTATCTGTTTATTTTCTTTTTAAGATACAGAAATTAACGACAACTTAAGATAGCCTTTTTCCTTATTAGTGCATTTTGTCTGTCTTATTCACGATGCAAATGAAATTTGCCAGTGCGATTGTACCTGTCATTTGACACTGAGGCACAACAAAAAATCCATCGATGCACGATATGGGAAGGTTCTTGTGGAAGTCTTGTGGAAGTATAATATTTCCTTGGTTTAATGTCCGGATCGTAATATATGTCTTAATTTCTTTCTTGACTAAATGCACAGTGTCAATTCCAGCACACCGGAAATAGAAAATATGTTTCATTCTTTAAATGGGTAAGTAAGCAATGACGTGGTAGATGGAACTTGGCAACATCACCTTTTATCGAACAGGGATCAGTTAAAGATTAAAAGGGCTTTTTTTCTCCGAAAATGGAGGTTCGAACTCTGAATATTTCTCTGATAAAAAGTAAGTGAACCTGCCAGTTTCTTTGACCGAAATTACTATTGTTAAACATATCGCTTGTCTTCGAAATCAAGACACTCTCAAAAAATTGAGACAAACTTATCTCTAATTTTGTGTTCTTGCCGAAACAACAGACTTACTCTATGTGGGAGGGATTAAGATAGCGTCTACCCCAGCCGAGTCACTTCGCCTTCAAGTGCAGTCACGTCGGCCCTTGTTGGATCGACTAAAATCTTTGATGATCTATCGTGGTGTCACTATTCTACTTATTTTTGAGAATTTCTTACCGTCATGGTAGGTTGTGATTCAAATCTTAATCTTATGTCGTAAACAACACAAAGAGAGTTTAAAAAGTTTCTCAAGTCTGGAGGATTTTCAATACGCCGCCATGAAAATGACATTGATAGATAGATAGTTTATTTAAATATACCTAGCAGCCTTGCGGCTGAATTGCGTATATTACAATAATGTAATTAAATAAATATATTATATAACGTATATAAGAATATTCAAAATTATAAACATTGGCGTCGAATATTTGGTCACAGGCTAACGTAGGTGTGATGTGACCACGCTTGTGGGCCACGTTACTCGGCTCAGGGGTGACAACTGACGTGACTCGTTGCCATTGTAACAGGGGGCATAATGAAAGAGGAATGATGTCTATCACAATTTCTTCGTTCAGCATGCAAAACAAAGCTCCAACCTGTTTATTATGACCTCTTAGCCTTTCTTGATGAGGGTGATATGAAATCTTAAGAAGTCGTCTTGTTCCCAACTCAAGAAATTTGAAAGCTTTCCTTTAACAGTACATAAGCGTTATAGATCAATTTTGTTCGGTCGAGATGGCTGGACATTGGCCGAGTTTTTTTGTGTGTGTGTGTTGCGCTTTTATGGACCGAGACGCATAAAAACACAGAAAAGAACGAGGCTAATATCCAGGCATCTTGACCGGACAAACTCGTCAATAAAAGATTTATGATATAGCAAAACGATTTCGCTGTAATAGGAAACAAGAATGACTTGTTTATTTCGAGAACTGGGAAAGAAAGCCAACTGTATTTGTAGCACATTAAATTCACGAGAATGGTTTTACTGCCTTCTGCCGCTTTTTGCCGATATTTTCCTAAATTAACGAATTTTGTGAGTCCGCTCCAGGGTACTTTGTTTTCTTGCGCAGGATCAATGCGGGCGGTCCCGAACTGGAAAGATGCGCACATCTTACCCACACGGGTGGCCAATCAGAACACAAGATTTGCTTCATATCGCCGATGGGCGCTGCCAGCTATATAATGTTTATGATTATGATTGCAATAATTCCTTTTTGTCTCAGTTAAGTGTTAAGATATATTTTTCTTTTGGGGTGGGAGGGGGGGTAGGAGGTTTCAGAGGACAGTGACTCTCTTAAACCCATGCTTTGCTTTCGATTTGTAAGGTTGATCTTTCCGGGAGGCCATGTGAAGTTAAATATATCTAGATACACAACAGTCGGAAGGAAGTTCCTAGACCTTGCTGTTAAGGTTTGTTGCTGATATGTTCCTTTGCCGTCATATTTTTCAATCAGTTAAGAATAATACAATCGTGTGATCGGCAAGTTTCTATGTAAGAATTTAACAAAAAGCTTAAAGACTTATTTGGATTAACCAAGGGTGCGGCAAGTGCCTTGGCGGTCAGTTGTCAAAAATACTTCTTTATCATTTTTTGCCAGGCCTACGATGAAACAGGAGACGTATTTCCTATATGGGCCGAGTGCCTGGGATTTGAATTGATTGCTCTTATAGTTGGTGGAAGGGACTTAAAGTTTGGTCAATACGACCAGTCGTTCCTCAGCCTCACAGATGCAAGAAACATCAGTTTAAAGCTTATTTTATCTCCAGGTAACTCAAATCCCAATAGAAAAGACATGAAATGGCACGCATCAAACTGGTCAGGAAATATTGTTTTGAAAGGCTATTTAGTGGCCTATTTAGTGACAAGTGCTCTAATGGCCTGCTCATAAGATAACTTTCATTAGGAGTGGTCTTAATTTAGTATGTTATCTTCACTTTGTAAGTCACGAACTCTTAAAGCCGCGTCATGTAAATTGTACATGACGAGTTGAATTGTCCACTGTCCTTAACGATCACCCTAACTCAAACAAGATGAGCATTTAATACGAGCAAGATCGATAGCGTTTGTTTATCGGAAATTGATAGAATGTTTTCTTTAAAAAGAAATTAACACTGTTTCCTCCTAATCTAATTAGACTCACAGTCCACATTTTCATACTTTCCACCCTTTCATTTTGTCGAACAACATCGAGTAGCTACGATATGTGAATCAAACTAATTTTAAAGCGTTTCCAATACATCGTTTGGTCATGTTGTTATATTCTAAATTGTCAGGATCAGTAAGCTTACTAGTTCTTCAAAACGTATTCAAACCGTTTAATAAAGGGGGTAAGTTTCCCAAAGAAAGTGTGGTCCTGCATCGGTGGGGTTATAAGCAAGGTATTCGGCTTTATCGACCGAGTAGATGACGTAAATTGGCCACTGTGAAAGTTTCTAAATCTCACGTTTCGATCGTCAGCCCCTCGTTTTCATGGCTTAGTTTGCACGACTAACTTCGATGGTCGGTCAAATACGAACAAAAAAAAATTTGAATCTTCTCTTTATGAGTGCTGATACTATTTCTTGCAGACTTTAAGTCAACGAAACTGTTAGGGTCTGCCCCTGATAATGTCATAAAGTACATGACACAAAATGATATCAATTACAACAATCACAATAGAGGTTTGACGCCCGAGGTAAGCAGATTGCTGTATTCGCCTCGTTCTTTCTTCTGTCGAAACACACAAAAGAGACTTCTGTGAGGGCTTCTGAAAAATTAGATGTAAGAGTTAAATGATTGCAATGTTCTTTTCATCACCAATTAGTATATTGAGTTACTGAAACCGTTTTCCCGTCTGGCAGAAAAAGAAACGATGGGAAGTTAAAATTCTCGTCGTATGTTTGCATAACAAGAGTACTTCATGTACAGAAAGAAAAAAGGTATCAAACCTCCCCTTAAAATGACCTTTAAAAGCTATCTTTTCCTCCTTTGCGACTCACATTATCTCCTTGATTTCTCTACCATCATGCACTGATGATCAGAATGAAGATATGCGGTTTTAGAGTTACAGGTTTCTTTTCACACGTGCTTGTTGTTTTTTGACATTTGCCCAGGTATTCCATAAAGATGAAAAGTTGAGTGAGTTTTTTAAAATAGTTTCCACGAGTAATGACAGGAAAGGAAAGCCGTTTATCTCTACTATGGAAGGTAATCTCTCGAAATCATCATTTTTTCTTCGCCTTCAATGAAAGAAAGGCCGGCTCATAATCTAGAACAACAGCAAATCAGATGGGCAGTTATGTAACATTCATCACTTTTCACCAACAACCATCGCCTTCTTTTTCAGCTCTTAAATATCCTATTTACAGTTTTCAGTGGCATCCGGCGAAGCCTCTGTTTGAGTGGACAACACTAAAAGACATCAGACATACAGAGGAGGCTGTTCTGATAGCACAATATTTCGCAGACTTTTTTGTAAATCAAGGTAAATTGTTATCTTTGTAATGGCGATATACGTTGATTGGTCGTTATACTCATACTTTTGTTAATGTGACAAACCAGCAAGTTAGGAAACCTTCAGCAGCTTGAACCGAGGCAAATTTGGTATCGATAACTGAAGTTAAGGTAGAGTGGGTTGGTAACTTGCCCCTTTTTTCAAATTCTTACTCTGTCATACACAATGAAGCAATCCAAGAATTCCTCATTAGAATTCGATGCTTAAAGTAAATGTATTACATATTAAACGAATTATGAAATTAAATTGTCATTGATTTCACTATACTTTAATTTAGTGGAATCTCAAAATGAGGGTGCTTTTGGCTAGCTTCTTTCCTTAGACGTTTTCATAGTTCATTGTTATTTCTTTAACTAAACTTAAAAACTGAGGCGTGCTTATGATCCACTTTGTTACTCCATTCCCTAATATTCTGATTTCTACCTAGCGTTGATAAACTATACCTTTCTTTCTTTCTAAATCATCAATTTGGTTACAGCTCGTTTAAGTGACCATCGATTCCCGAGCACAGAAGAGGAGAAAAAGGCATTGATTTACAACTATTCACCAACATACACTGGAGATGTCGTATCAGTGTTACAGATGTACTTTTGGTGATAAAGAGCCTCCTTGAAATAACTGAAGTATGCTGATCCTTTTTATGCCGGAGGCATTTTTTATGCTGTGTATTTTCGAGTTTACGGGTACAAGATGTGTGGAAAGCAGAAGTTGAGAAGTTTGGCCACTTGCTATGAGCTTTTGAACTACCTTCTTGGATAGGCTAATGTCACCTTCCATTCTAAATTTCAATATTAGCTTGCAAGGGAAGCTCATACACTGAACCGAACTATTTATATATAAAGCAGCTTGCATGGCATCTGTCTCGAACAGTAAATCTATAAACATAGATAGACCTTTTACTCTGGTAGTTCAAATAAAACATGTCTTTTTTTTTTCTAACCAAACAAAGCCAGAAGCCCATTTCCATGAAAGAGTATTTAATAACTGTGTTCATTAAATAGATTTTAAACAATTTTTGAATACCTTAAATTCTTTGAAATCGTTGTACTTTTGCTTTCGAAGACAATACAAGTTACAAACGCTTCCTGTTGTTTTTCGTTGTTGCTGTTGTTGTTACTGCTACTGTTGGCATGTTAACTCCACCGATTTATGATCATTTATTTTTTGAAGAAAGAAGGATGTATCGTTTTTGGAGCTGAACCTACTTTGTAAGGTTTTCGGAGGAAGCATTAAAAACCAGAATTATGTTTATACGTTATACGTTTATACATTTATACGTTAAAAATTAATATTATCAAGAACATATAAAAAGTTGTATCTGACGTGGAGACAGCATCGAATCTCAAAGGGTATTCGATAACTTAAGTCCTTGTTACTCAGATGCGAAACTCCCAGTTCTTTAAAATTGACCATGCACTACAAAACAGAACCTCTATTTGTAATAGAGTCTTTCATGAATCTGCTTTGGAACCTTGGTGCCGCCAAGCAATCCTTGCCGCGTAACGAATAGCCTTAACATCCTGATATCCTGACATCCTTTGGTGTAAATGTCTCCATACATGAACTACGCGTTGCATTACCGCTGTACAAACGCAGGCGTCATTAACCTTAACGACCGAAATTGAAAGATTGTTTATATCGATCGATATAAATACAGTTCTTACTTAGTCCCGGTACGTGAAGTTAAGATGCCAGCCAAAAAGAAAGGTAAAAAGAAGGCAAAAGGAAGTAGCAGAGGTGAAAAGGAAGAGGAAGAAGGAGGAGGAAAGCCTGAACCTACGGGAAAAGAGCAAGAACTGAGAAGAGAGTGAGTAAGCTTTCTCACTCAGCCTTATTTTTATGGGAAACGTGTTACAGCAATGTATAAAGAAAGCGTTATATACTTAGAAAAAGAAAAGTAGTGATTTTTCAGGCAATTAAAACCACCAGTTCAAATAAGCCTTTGTTCTTATCCATGTTATGTCTGTCAGTATGATATCCTGGACAATATTATGCGTCTCTAGCTTAATTGTGAAATTGCAAGGACTAGATAATGGATTGAAGGTTGTGCTGCAAATATACTATGATTCTCGTGGCAAAGGGGAGATATTTATCATACTATGTCTGTACTTCAGTTTTGAGTAAACTGGGTCAACTAATTATGTTTTCTTAATCTGTAGACTGGAAGTTTTAACAGAAAAATTATCAAATCTTAAGCGAGAGGTTGAAGGACTGTATCTTTTCGAATGGGCAAGGTTTTCTTTGTTATGATCGGATGATTGAATATTTTGTTTATGACCATTCACCGCCCACTCACATGATTTCGCTGTATTTGAATCTGTTATCGTAACTGCATGCACTAGACCTGGTCATGTTGGGTTTCGCTCCCATGTTGCAGTACGTAAACGAGTGTGTTTCTTTGGTTTTTAGACTAGATCTTTTTTACTAACCTCAACAAGACGAGACTGTAGCCTGTAATGTACGAACCATTTGTGATTGTAAGGATTACTAAGACTGATGGAAACCATGCTTCAAAGCTTCTAAGTCCCTTGCACTACTCATAATAATGTGCACTTTTATCATAAAAAGTTTTGCCATACTTATCTTGAATTTACACAAAGCTTGTAAGGAAATTTTTGGGTTTCAGATCTGTAGAAAAGGGTTTTTAGTAGCTAACTGATTCAGAGTGGGGTCAAAATATTGTATGATAAAGAGCCCGAAATTAATCGATATTCACAGCTTGTCCTTGGAGAAAAACACAAAAATGAAACACTTTCAATTATCATCAGTTCATGAAAACTATTCTTCTATAAAAAGCAATGTTGCTTTAACTAATAAGGCATATCGTTCTCTGTAGTCTGCATATTCACAATAGGTATTTTAATTTAATTAAAATTACATTTTCTCAGCTGAGGGTGTTAGATGAAGACATTGACAAATTTAATTTTGATATAGGTATGTTGAAGTATACAAATCATAGTATCCCCTAGGGTCCATAAATACGTTGCTAGGAAAGCTAGCAGATGTATATGTTTTTTTAACAATCCTCTTTTTTAAGTTATTTACCAATCATTAAGTGTTATAAGCAAAAGATTCTCTATTGGTACTGGTACCCTTGGTCTTGCCTCATAATGAGAATTCTGGAGATACTTTTGAATGCGAGAACAATAGATCTTTAAGCTACACTTTTTTGTGTTGAGAACTGGAGAATCTTTCAGGAAAAATTTCAATGACAGTTGAAATATTAGCAAAATAAAGTTTCTTAACACTTAAATCAGACGGAAGGAAAACGAATGGCTCCAGGAAGAGGCTCAACAAACTCGACTGGAAAGTGTGAGTAAAATAGATGTGATTGTTTAAAATGCTCAACTGGCAGATATGATTGTGTAAACATGGTTTTCATGTGAAGGTAGTCGCTCAGGTGGAAGGTGTTTTTTTCATCATATACATGATGAAATAACATTTGCTTCTGTACCAGTACATGTTAGTCCTATTTTCAGAGTTTGGACATTTTTTGACATGGATCATTACTAAGTTTTGTTCTACCTAAAATTACTGCTTTGGTGTCTTTAATTCTGTACCAATTTAATGCTACCACTAACAACTGAAATAAGTCTTGTTTGAATGTAAAGCATGAGTACATGTCCTACATGGCTAAAAAGACACAGAAGAGACAAACAACAATAATATCACTGAGTGACAGCAATCAGCAAGAATTGGAGAACATCAAGCAGCAGAGAGAGCAGATGTTAAATGAATATCAAGAGAAGAAACAAGGTACAACTTTCTACTTAGAGCTCGCACGCTTCAGTGAGATATAATGTCAGTGATTGTTACTTTGATCACCTGAGAAAGAATCATTGTCAGGTTTTGTGAAAGTTGTTGGTAAATTGAAATTACACCAAAAATATATACATGTTGTATGAAGCTCAATGAAACTGAACAGCCACCTTTACTAGCTGCTATGATTTACTGGTACTGTAGATAAGACACACCAAGATGTATATATATATATGTACATACCGTAATTATGTACACCATGTGCTGCCAGGGTTTCCAAATAGTCTGATTACTGCAACATGTTTAGATTTTTTTTATTCTTTCCAGCCAATTGGTTCACAAGATTCATTTAGGAGGTTAGAACTGTTCTGTTTAAACACACTCTGGTTTACTCATCTAAAAATCTATTATATAATAATTTTACCCTCATGACAAAGGGTATAATTATAACCTCCCACATGAATCTTGTGATCTGAATTATGTGGGAATTACATAAGCTGATTTCATCCATTGGGACTTTGCCTTACAAGAGTTGGTGTTGTAGACACAATTCCCATGGGAAATGAAACTTGGTTCTGAGAGGTGGCCAATCTTTGAGACCCTGTTGGCATCCTTGAAATTAATCAAACTCCATTTTAAAAAAATCAGATAAATGTTATTGAACGCATTGTCACACAAAAGTTTCCTCACAATGTTATAATGTGAGCAACAAGGTGCCACAGATGCAGTTTGAACTATTTTTATTGTGCAAATTTTTTTATAAGTGTTTTCAGATGATTACTGATAACTCATTTATTCAAGGTTTCTTAACTGGATACCTGATTCCTGATCAGTGTCACACAGGGGTGCAGATATATCGCGATGCCATAAATGTGTACAGGGAGGGAATTTCCTTGGGGAGAGCGACTAAGTTAACTATATCCATAGCACAGTGACAACAATTGGTGAGTTTCTTATCACAGCTTTGAAGCAACTGATGCTTGAGAAAGAGGCTGAACTTGCCCTGACAAATAATGAACTGGCTGAATTGGAAGAGTATCAGGTAATAGTCTGTTATGCAGTAACTCAACAACTAATTGCTACTGATGCTTGAAAAACATCATACATTAAATAGAATGTTATAATAAAACAATACAATTTCTGTCTGCACATAAATATGCTCTAGGCCTGAGGCACAATCAGGGAAGAGCCCAAAATATATTTATGCCTAAGAACATAAACTGTATTTCTATTATTTTATACTTTGGAGGGCAACAAAAAATGACAACAATAAATGATAAAAAAGTAGTCTCAACAATCACACCTATGTATGTGCAAGCTAATATACATTTTACAGTGTCAAATTCTCCATTTTTGCATGCAAAATGGACCACAATTGCAGAGAAAGTGATAATAATTGGAAAGCTTCCACCCTGCACTAGCATTACTTTGTAAAACTTTGGGAATTATTATTTTGTCAAATTTTGGGGCAATGTAAGCAAAGGATTGTGTTTTTTGGGAGCAATTAGATGGACAATGAATGTGAGCTCCAGCTTTTCCATGTATCAATTTTATGAGATCAAATCTTCTCTAATTAAGTTGAACTCTAACAGTATTTGGTGTTGGTCTATTTTTTTTTGTATTTATATTCTGATTAACCTCAAATTGTGCAACACAAGAAAATAAAAATTTCTAAACCAAGGTAAATCTTGAACAAGACATATATAGTTGTAGTTTATGCTCACTCTCATTATTGCAATTGATGAAAAAAATTTCCTGTATATACAAAGACTCTTCAGTGTGATCAAAAGGCAGAGATTGCACATCTGGAGCAGGAAGTTCACATGATGAGAGGAAAACACTCAGAAGCAATACAAAAGCTTAAATCACAGTTTTTACGAGAGAAAAGAAGCTATCAAAGGGAATCAGATGATAAAATTCAAGAAATGGCGCAACAAGCCTCACAGGTTAGAGAACCACAGCAAGTGTGCCATAGCTACTTTAAAAGGATTTTTTTCCTCTTTTGTTTACCAGCAGGTTGGTCTTATCTGATGGCAAATTCAATGTTGTACTGACAGATTTAATCAAAAGTGATCCTCCAAAAATGGAACAAAACTTAGTTAAAAATCAGCACCCACTTTGAACCTAGGGTTAAATGACTGTCAAGGAAAAGGAGTTTGTCCTTTTTAAATTTTAAGTTATCAGTGGAACTTAAATTCTTTTAGACAGGCTATGATGCTTCAAATTCATGTGCATTGATAACTGAAAGTGATTCTTTGCCTGCAGGAGATTTTTGCAATCTTAAGCATGCTGTTCCAAGCTGTAAAGGGAATGGACTAAAATTTGACTTCATGATTCCTAAGTCATCAAAAGAAGCAGTGAAATAATTCCAGGTCATCACAGCTGGATAACAATTACATATATAAATCAAGTGTTTAATACTTTTTTTTTTTGACTTTTTTCCATGTCAAGGAGGCAAAACAGTGTTTAGATGAGCACACGCACAGGATCAAAGACGAAAACCGATTGTTGCGGAAAGAACTGTTACAGCTAATCAGAAGAACACGGGCCCTTCATGAACATCGCCAAGAACTTGAAGAACAACATAAAACACTTTTGCGTGAAGTACAATACAGTAGAGACCTGAAGAAACTCAGGGGTTCGAGGCAAAACAGGCTTCACCAGAACTTTGGAATAAGTACAGAACAGGGTCCACAATAAGAGCATAATTGACCATAAAAGGACAAACATGTTCTGTCCATTTTGTGGTTGGGACCAGGTAGAAAATGAGTTGAGAACGCCACTTCAAAACTTATTTATTCCCTTGTGAAATGTTTTTGCAGTTTGTTTTGGGTTGTAGTGACCATTTTTGGAAAAGATCCTTGTTTCAATGAAAAGTTTGGAAAATCATGTGACAAACTTACATTGAAAATGTTACTTACTGCATTAAAGATGTCATAATTTTTGCTCATAATAAACCTAATAAACCTAGGGTACAAGTACTGCTTGACTGCAATGAAAATCGTTCAAACTAAGTGGATTGTAAAGAACCTAGTGATTTGTCAGCAGGTAAGTGAAGCACTCAATGGCCCCCATTTGATAAATAACGATAATTGAACTAAGTGGAAACTGTAAGTATGATTTCAGACCAAACTTGCTTGACATGTTGTTTATTTGCTGCTTTATTACATCCATTTTCAAACTGAGAAATTTAATTGTCCAGATACACAATTTTAGCCAACATGATTTTTTTAAATTACCCAGTACTGGGCTGGTTTTATCAAGAGCAGAATTTCTCTACTTTGTCCTTCTCCTTGCTGCAAGTTTATTGGCCTTGACATCTGATTTATTGTTTCACTTGATTGCTCTACTCTTATTACTTGGGAAAAAAAATTTGATTCAGAGCAAAATTATTATGTGATTTAAGAATCATCACAATGCTGAGGGCTAATCAGATTGCAAGGATTAAAAGTGATATAAAAATGGACATAATGGAGGTAAGTAAATCAGAGTAGAAATTTTTGGAAGGTGATACTTCAATTATTTATCAGTATTTCATCTAAGCAAAATCATTTGAAACTTTTATCCTTGAACATTGACAACATTTAAGATTTTAATGTCAATGCCTGCAACCTATTCTAGTTGTGTCACACTATTGTCAATTTATTATTGGTCTGTTTTGGATGACACAATTCATGTCAGTAGTATTCTTGGCTGATTGTCTGCAGTTATAATTTAATATCGCAAGGGAAACATGCTATCACACGATGGAAATCAGCCACATGGAAGATCTATGGTGTCAAATAATAATAATAATTATAAAAAACAAAATAGGAAAAAGAATTTTAAAAACAAGTGTGCCCAGTTTGGCTATACCTGGATGATGAAGTAAACAACCTTAGGTTTTAGATAACTTTTCCCATAAGTGACCACTGCAAGGACATATCCAAACACAAGAGCCTCCTAGCAGGCTGAACAGAAGACAGTAATGGATCATGTAGGGGGGAAGTAGATTGCCACTATCTGGCTTATATTAAAACTTCTGCTTTACAGATTCAGTTTTGGTGGTGTGTTATACACCTATGTTGTTGCATGTTCCTGGGCCTTCCCTTAAGTGTGGTGCATGATGAAGTTTCACCAGGTATAAGTGGTTACCATCCTCTATGTTGCCTTTGAATGTTTGAGCACTTTTTCTTTGACCTTCTTTTTCTTGGGTGTCTCCTGACTTTCATCATTGGTTGTGGTCCTTTTTCTTTTAGTCAAAGTTCTGTTGTTGAACATTTCAGGGGCATACCTTTGTTCCACAACATGAGTCCAAAGGCACAGCTCAATCTTATGTTCATTCCACTCTCCTTTGGGGTCTGACAAAAGAAAAAGTTATTTTGTCAATACTGCTTCATAACCTTGGCTTTTGCTTCTTTTGGTAGTAAGTATCATTGCTTCCTTGAAATAATGCATACCTGATGCAAATCCCTGACTACTTACTGCTCTATCCCCAAGCAGAAAATACGACCAAAAACCTAACTCTAACTCTAGGCCATTTGCCCACTTTTTGCCAACCTTGTTCCATAAGAAGAATTAAATTAAGGCTTAAGTAGTGACACTGTAACTGTTTTAATGATCTACTGTTGTTGTGCCAATCTGGGAAAAGAAGCCTGCGATTCTAATAATCATTATAAGGTTGTTTGGGATGTAAGCCACAACTTATAAACATCATAATTAAGCATAAATGTCTGTGGGTTATTTAGTGTTTCACTATACGGTAAGCTGCAGTTAGTGACTTGAAGTACCAGGTGTACTTACCCTTTTTCAATAAGTTTTTAAGGCAACTTCTTATTTTGTCAAGATATTGGAGATAGAACTTGAGTGTGTAATCAATTTTTCCAAAGCCTGGTATGGCTTGAATTGCTTCATCTGCCATGAATGGTACTTGGTGACAACCAGCGCATAAGATTGCTAGATAATTATGAAAAAAGTTAAAATCAACATTCCAAAATATTCATATGATTTTTTTTCTCCTTGTATGATAGACAGTATAGAGAGAAATGTTACACACAGGTTAAGACATATGAATTACATGTAGTTAACTACAAGTTAAAGAAATATTTAACAAATAAAGAAGCCTTGACTGTGCTCAGTTCTGTTGTAAAGCACACAGGGAGTGGCTCCCTTCACCTTGTGTAAGTGCTTTACAACAGAAAGAGCACAGTCAGGGCTTCTTTACTTGTTTTATAGTAAAGAATCCTTCAAATTCCCCATGCATTACTTACTACTTTCAAAACAAGTTTTTCTTTTCAAAGCAAACAGAAATGTTACCAGCATGATCTACACTCATAAAACAATAAGCCAATCAGAATCCTTGTCAGAATGGTTCATATAGTCTGATTGGTTGAATTTAAAAAATCAAAGTTCACAATTTGCAATAGTTCACAAACTGAAATAGTTTGGCAGGTTGAATTCAACACTTTTGCTTAAAGTTTTTCCAGTCTCTAGTACAGAATCTGAAAGTTAAATGTTCAGTGAAATCCTGCCAAAATTAGGAAACAATTAGGAAACAAATTTCTCAAGGCATATGCTTTATGAATGAATGAATGAAACCAGAATTCACAGGAACATGAAGATTGCTCAGGATGACAACACCGTAAAACTTGGCTGGAGTGATTAATGTGGCCTTCCACTCAACGCATTGGAAAGGATATCAGAGCAAGCTCTTAGCTGTTTACTCTAAGGACAGTTGATGTAATTTCTGACACTTACTTCACTGTGATGATCAGAGATTACCATGATAAGCCAGCCACGATGGACCTCTGCATGATCTCTGACACCATCATGACTTATATGAATTGCGACGGTTGTGCCAGCTTGGTTAAATTTTTCATTATATACTACATGAGTCTTAGCTGTGTTTGAGTTTTATTACTGTATGTAAGCTTACAATCTAACTAAGCATGAAAACCTCCAAAACTTGTACAGTCCATTTTGTATCCTTGTAGAGGATTTTCGTCTCTGTTCACATTACAATAACATTAATTACAGTGCTTGGCATGTTTACAAGCCTCTATTTGGTTTTGTGTTGCTACTTGCCCACTCACTTGCTCTGAAATTTCACTTTCAATTTACAAAAAAAAACTATAGAGAGGGCCAAGTAATTGGTCAGACATAGTATTAATTGGCACATTGGGTGACAGCTTTAGCTTGGCTGTGTGTTTTATACTCTGATGGAACATGCTCTTTCAACCAATGACAGTACACACTATACCTGAACTTTTTCATGAAATAAGTTAACTTTCATTAAAGCCAGATTAAACCTGCGCATACAATTAGGCAACAATTTGATTAAGCTACACATAATATCTTTTATGGTTAGACAGAGAAACATAAGAGAAAAATCAAAACGAGGTAAAACCAAAACAGTGACTAGTGAAAATTCACCAGTTAATTGGTCGGATGATACTTTTACTATTGTATGGCTGACTCTCTGGACAGGCAAGATGGAGTTCTGGTTGGTTCCTGACCATTTGACATTACTATTCCAAAGCTGGCTTACTTTGTTTAAATTCTACAGGTGTGTTTCACAAAAAGAATGACCAGTTTTCTGGCAGGTTTAAAAGCAACAGATAAATCTTGAATAAAGTCAAAACAAAGACATCCTGGATGAGCTTTCAGAATTTACTTTTCAAGAATGTAATTTATTTATTGACCAAACTTGCTTGGATGAATGTTTTCTTCATCTCAATAGTTCTTGACCTTCAAAAAGACACTTTACGATATATTCAACATATTGTCATCAATAAACACATGTTGCTAAGGTGCCTGAGAAGCCCTGTTTTTCACTGACCTGAAGCTGTTGCTGGTCCAACAGCTTTCAATGTTGTTAGTTCTGTGATGGCCAATTTTACATCAGGTAAACACTTGAAAGCATTGCATGTCACCTCCTTGACAGCTTCACTGGTGTTTGTCTGTACAAGCTGAGTCAGGCGGGGCCTGAACTTCCCACGCTGTAAAAGAACAATAGCTTACTTAATATTCTTTGATCAATATGACTTCATATGACTAAAATGAATCTGTACATTCATTGTTGACTAAGTAACAATCTCATATGAAATATTAAGAAGGGTTTTACACATAAGCTGGCAGACACTAAACCCTGTAGGATTTCAAAAGCACCCCAATTATATCAAGATCTCTACATCTCTCAACTTTCTCAGATTATCTATATGTACATGAATCTTTCAAATGTAAAATGATTCTCCTGGTTTCTAATACAGTTGCCTACGTCTCACATAGAGAAACAATTTTGGTTTTTTTTTGTTCTGTTTATTTGTTTTGCTTTATTTTGTTTTTGTTTTTTCCTTTTTTTTTTCATCAGAGTAGGAAAATCAATTCAACTGGAGATAAAATTGGTTTTCCTGTTCAGGAATAGTTGTATTTTTGAAATGTCCTTTGATTCTTGAGAATGTGACAATGTACAGTTTACAGCAGTAGACTGGAAGCCAACAATAAAAAATAAAACTTGGGGGTGGGGGTTTGGAATGTGATCCAAAATTGATAAGCATGTCCGCACTTCAGATTCCCTTCAGCAATACTAGACAGAACTAAGTCGTCTCTCATAACTGAACCATCCTTTTTTAATAACAGTTTTAAGAAAAGCTTACTGTTAATTTCCACTCCATAAGCTTTGTGAGTTCTTCCAGTGTTATATATTTTTCTGATCTCTTGTTTATTTCTTGAGGTAACTGGTTTTGAAACCTGCATGTGTACATTTCAAAGTGCCATTAAAAACAATTGGCTTGTTATGAACTAAACAAAAACATATTCCAAAATTTACCTTAAACTTAAACAGTACAATGTTTAAATTATCAGGTTCATAATCCCACTATTGTGGGATTCAAGCAGAGAGGAAGGGAGCTAAAGGGAATTTTACATACATGTAAGCTTAACCATCACAAAACGTATTTAATGTATAAAAACACGTTTACAGCAAAGGAGGATCTTGAACCATGCTTAACCTACATTCAACCTCTCCCATTTAAAATTGTACCTTCCTCTGCATGAAAATGTTCGATTCCTCGCCAGGATCGCCAACTACAATAATTATGATTTCACGAAGACCTCCTGCGCACTCACCAGTTGTCAAGATCCAACAGCTTCTTTGCTTTATCCTCCTTTCCTTTTTCGGCTCTAAGTTTTAACATCTTTCCGTATAGCTGAAATGTTACCTTCCATGGTTCAACTTCACTTGCTTCGAACAAGTTGGTCGCCATTTTGCAAAACTTGGTTCTTTCCCGCCAAATCAGTTGTAGACCCAGGCCTTAGCAGATTCCGACCGATCGGTTTGATCGATACAGTGGATGATTACATGATTTCTGACCAAAATTGAACGACTCTAAGTTCAATTACCACTTAAATGATATTTATGAATAATTATAAAATAATTCAAATAGTACGTGCGCTCTGATTGGCCATAAAACCATTTTACATGAGCGTATGTAAACACGATTTTCGTTCCTCTTTCATTAGTTATTTTATAAAAGAAATGTAAAATGGTTTCCGTGTTTAAATAGCCTGATGTTAACACGCGGGAGGTTGGGAGAACACTCGATAAGCTGGAAACCACTCCGCTTCGCGTCGTGGTTTCCTACGCTTATCTCGTGTTCTCCCAACCTCCCGCGTGTTTACATTAGGCTATGTAAACACGGACACCATTTTACATTTCTTCAATATGGAGCACCTGATTGGTTAAAAACGAGTATATTTTTACGTGTAACACGAATGCAAAGTTGTAACACGAGTGCAAATTACAATAAGCGCGCGCTGCCAAATTTCGTCCGTCGTGACTTTCACTAATGCGTTTTTCATGTAAATTATTAACAAGAAACAACATGATTTCTCGTGCAATTTGGTGTAAATAAGCGCGGGGAAATTGTTAAAAAACTACACGTTGCTCACCCTATGGGCTCGTGCATTTTTGTTGTCTTCGACAAATTGAATCGTGCTTATTAACAACAATTGCACCCAAAATCATGTTGTTATCTATATTAACGCATCCATTTTGAAATCGCAAAATTCAGTCGCTCAAATACAAGAATTTTTTTTACAAACAGTTCATTAATTCAGTAATGGGCTGGTTTGTAAAAAGTTGCTAAAGTTTTGTTTCATCTACCTCTAAAATGATATACATGAAAAAAAATTACGCGCTTCTGATTGACTGAAAACGTGCATTCTCATGTTACACAAGTGCACACGAGTGCAAATTACAACTAGCGCACACGCTTTCAAAATTTCGTCTGTCTTGACCGTCTGTGACGTTTTTTTCGGTTTTCGTTTACATTGTTAACAAGTAATAACATGATTCCTCTTGCAATTTGGTATACTAAGAACTGGTTAACTGCACTTGTCCTAAAGGCTCGTGCTACTTTGTTTTAATTGAAAAATTTAGTCGATTTACTCATACTTATTAGCACCAAATAGCTCTCCAAATCATGTTATTACCTAAACATATTATTGGTTTCTGGAAACAAGCTTAGAAATCTTATTGGTTATTGTGTCATAGGAAAGGTTTCTCATTGGCATGGAAAAGATGCGATTTAGAGCAGTAAATGATGCGATTCGAGAGCCAATAAGATGGCAAGGATTACCAGTGGTAGCAAAGGTTACTTACCTACTTAAGGTCGCACCTCTTGGCGGGATGTGATGATGGGATGTGATTGTTGTCTTTGTTATCGCGATTCCCTACACAGTTCGAGGCCCAAAGCTCATTACCCGAAAAAACATGCAAACCAAAATCAGTCATATTTTCATGATAATAAACACAACAGTCACAATGTACTCAGCTGTTTCGAAATCAAACGTACCAATGCGCGCTGCATCTTATCGATCAATAGATGGATGAAATTAAAAGCCACCCTAGATCTTTCAAATTAAGGCCAAAGTATAAGTCACATCAACAACTATAATTCTTTTACAGTACAAAGTAACCAACTGTCCAAATATCGCGCAAGATTTGTTCTCGATTAGCGCGTTATTTGTACTCGATTAGCGCGTTATTTGTACTCTGCAAAGAGGAATTTGGATAATGAATAACAATATTCAGTTCCGCTGGAATTTTAAAAGAGCCAAAGCCAAATAACTTATTTTGCTGCTTAAATAACAACATCGGCACTATTGACGTTATGGCAATGCCAGTTACAAATAGTTTGCCGGTAGCCCCTGCTGTGAACTGAATTAGCGAGTGAAGAACGCTATGATCGTACAGTTTCGAATTCATCTGAAAATTCATCATTTCTGTCTGGGCTAAGAAAATCTGATTTCATTTTAATCGTAATCGAATCATTAAGAATTAGATTCCTTGCGAACGAAGCTCGTTTCCTATGTCAGGAAGCTAATGTGGAGGATTCTCGCCAGCTACATCTGTGTGCGAAACCATCTTTTAAAATATAGGAATTTCCTTTCCTTCTCAAAATGGAAGTGAATGATAAGTGAAATATTCAGTGATTTTCCTTCGTAGTTTAACAATATTTATCAGGTGACTGCAAAAACTGCGCATGAGGATGAAACTGTGTAAGCCTTTAACTTTAATTTTTATCTATCACTCTTCGTTTTTATTACGTGGCTTTGATATTGAGTCAGAGATTACGGATATGTTGCTTATGATACCAAACGTTTACTCCTGAGGAAAAAGTTGAGAAAATATCGAAACACCAGAGTACTATCGAAAGTTCCGTATTTGCACGCAACTTCTGTAGACACGCGGCCACGTCCAACTTGTCTGAATGGCATTATTTGCAGGTGAAAGGTCAATCAAGATTAAAAGATATATAGAGAAAATATCATTGTTAATCATGAAAATTACAGTTTCCTCGATTGTGATTGATTAAAAAAAACTCCTATTCTCCACTATTTCACTTGCTAGGTTGTTATCGGACAGTTTGCCCTCGGACAATAAAATAAGTCAATCACATTCACAGTTGTAGTTGAAATCAAACGATCACATTCGAAGTTGTAGTTTAAATCAGTCAATCACAACCTTTTAATTAAAATTTTCCCTTTCTTCTATAACTTGGCTATTCTTCTTTTCCCGGAAATTGTAATTTTTATGATTACTTGGTAATAAGACTTCGTGTCGTCCAACTGAATTTGGTCTGTTATCATACTCGTGATAAACAAATCGAACTCCCGCTGCGCAGTCGTCCGATTTTGTTATTACGAGTATGACTACTATTGTGCACGCTTTCTATGTCAGCAAACAAATTACTCGTAAAAAAATGTTTTAGCTCAATTTGTCACCCTAACCATTGCAGGGAAAATCTCCATATTTCAGGCTCATGCTCCCTCACGTTTTTTACCAGTGGTTGTTCATTTCAGCGGTCCGGTTTTATCTTTCTAAATTTCATTGATATTGCCCTTCTTACGAATCATATTTCATTTTTCTTAAGGCATTGTAAACATTTGTAAACGGCTTCAGCTTGAAGGTACCTGCTAACTGTATAGGTCTCTTTTGTTTATGATACGAACGAAATCCTCGTTATAAGGAACACAACCTGGAAGCCCAAACGTATAATATACCACGATATAACAAACAAAGGTCAACACGTGACAAAAGACAAATGCGAAACTGAGTGAACAGCAAGGATCGAAATGCACCAATCAGAGCTGTTGAAAAACAACTAATCACAGCAGAGCATCATGCTTTATAAGATCACGCATGACCAGTCGACCTCATCGCCTGAAGAAGACTAGCAGTATGCAGTCGGAACGTCGCGTCTACATCACATGTGACTACATCGTGAGACAAACGAAAACTTAGCTGTTA